CAGTCTCGCTCTGTCGCCCAGGCTGGAATGAAGTGGTGTGATCTCAGCTCACTGCAACCTCCACCTTCCGGGTTCAACCAATTCTCCTGCCTCAGCCTCCCGAGTAGTTGGGATGATAGGAATTTAGACTGGGAGAAACAATAAATAACTGCCTTATGCTGTCAAGCCATCCATTCGAGAGCATGGACGGCCTCTCCAAGTATTTCAGATCATCTCTGTTCTCTTTCGAGTCTTAAAATGTTCCCTGTAGAGGTCTTGTATTGGTTAATTCATCAACACTTTGTAACTTTGGTTTTTTGAGACAGGGTCTCACTCTGTTGCCCAGGCACCAGCACGGCTCACTGCAGCCTTGACCTCCCTGGGCTCAAACAATCCTCCCACCTCAGCCTCCTGAGTAGCTGGGACTACAGGCTTGCGCCACCACACCCGGCTAATTTTTGTATTTTTTGTAGAGATGGGGTCTCATCATGTTGGTCAGGCTGGTCTGAAACTCCTGGGCTCAATTGATATGCCCACCTTGGCCTCCCAAAGTGCTGGGATTACAGGTGTGAGCCCGGCCTTAGGTTTGGTTTCCATTATGAGTGGTGCCCTATATTTAAAAATTATATTCTCTTTTTATTTCTACATTTTTTTCTAGAGATGGAGTCTCACTATATTCCTCACCAGGCTGGTCTCAAACTCCTGACCTTACCTACTGTGCTCATCTGTTCAATTGATTTTCACGTTTGTATTTTTCCCTTCCTTCTTTAAAAAAATGTGTTCTTGGCCATGCTTCCTCCTGGGAACCCCTCCCTGTTCCTGAGGTGCCTTGTACTGTGACACATTGTGCCCCGCCCCCAGCTCCGCCTGTGCGCCCGTGGGTGGAGTTGGCTTGCTGGCAGTGCAACACCCTCAGGTGTGCCCGAAACACCGCTTTGATCAGGTGCAGGGCTCCTGGAAAAGCCGAAGTGTGGGCCCTGGCCCGGGTGGGGGGTGAGGTTGGGGGGGGCACGCCCTGCTGTGCTGAGCCCCTCATAACCTGGCACCAAGGGTTGCCCTGGCCCAGCGCTCACCCTCAGCCCCTGAAGCAAGAAGGCAGGAGGCCGAGGTCCTGGCACTGGGAGGAGAGGAAGAGTGGAAGGGCGGGCGGTCAGACCCCCATATTTCTGCTGACACCCCGGGCCTGGGCTGTGGCCTCACTTACGTGGTGAGGGAGCTACACGCCGAGCCCAGGCCTAGGAAACAGCAAGGGCAGCTCCACCGCCCGCGACGCCCCCTGCTTCCTGCTGCACCCAGGTTGCAGCCCCTCCCTCCCTCCCTTCTTCCCTCCCTGCCTCCGTCACACACCCAGAGCTTGGCCTCAGACTCCCCAGGGGCCGGACAAGGTTTGAAACCAGTTCCTGGAAGCCGGGAGCCCTTGGCCCGTGCACGTTCTCCGGGGGGATGGGGGAGGGGACAGGCCCTGGCAAGAGTCATCCCTGCCCGACTCCCCACGGCTCCGTCCTGATCCCAGGCTCGGGCTCTGTCCCTGGCCTGTGTGACCTCCAGCTCAGGGACAGGACACTGGGCTGTGCCCGCTCGGGGCCTTGCACACGCGGCCCCATCTTTCCCAGGCCAGATTCTCCTCTCCTCCTCTGCCAGCTTCAGCCAGGCCGAGGACCCCGGGCCTGAGCTCCCCTGGGTCCCCTCCGCGGACTAGGTCTAGCTTCTCGCCCCAGGGGACTGGGGGCGGGGTGGGCGCGGAACAGGCCGGGTCTCCCGCGTGGCGCCGCCTCAGCCCGTGCCTCTTGCAGCTCCTGCCGCTGGATGGGGAACTCGTCCTGGCTTCAGGAGCCGGATTCGGCATCTCAGATGCGGGCTCGCACTGGGGCTGTGGAGCCGGTGAGGCGTTCGGGCAATGGCGGGGCTCTTGGAGGGGCGACAGGGGGCGGGACCGGAGGGGGCGTGTCAGGGGCGGGGAGAAGGCGTGTCCGGGGCGGGGCTTGGGGAGTGGCGGGAGTGTCCCGAAGGGGAGCTTGGGAGCTCGTGCTCATGGGCGTGGCGCAGCGCGGGGCTTGCTCGGTGGAGCTCAGGGGTGCGCCCCGCTTAGGCAACCCTGCGGTCTTCCGCGACCCTGACCGCTTCTCCTGGTATGACCCGCACCTGTGGCGCCCCGGGGACGAGGCACCTGGCCTCTTCTCCGTGGACGCCGAGCGCGTGCCCTGCCGCCACGACGACGTCGTCTTTCCGCCCAGTGCCTCCTTCCGCGTGGGGCTCGGCCCTGGCGCTGGCCCCGTGCGAGTCCGCAGCATCTCGGCTCTGGGCCGGGTGAGTACGGCCGGGTGGGAGGCTCGGGTCCCCTCTCCCCGCCTCTCCCGGTCTGCACACGTGGGTGAAATGAGCACTCAGGTGATGCCTCCTCCTCGGGCTGGCTCCCGTGGGGACCCGGCTTCCCGCAGACGTTCACGAGCGACGAGGACCTGGCTGCTTTCCTGGCGTCCCGCGCGGGCCGCCTGGGCTTCCATGGGCCGGGCGTGCTGAGCGTGGGCCCCGAGGACTGCGCCGACCCGTCGGGCTGCGTCTGCGGCAACGCGGAGGTGAGCGCGGCCGCAGTGGAGTCTCGGGCCGCGCGAGGGTCGGGACTGTGCCCGGGACCCCCCACGGTCTCTGGCCAGCTCGCCTCTCGGACGCCTCGCCCTTCTCGCTGGCCCTCCGCGCTGACCACCGCCCCTCGCCCCAGGCGCAGCCGAGGATCTGCGCCGCCCTGCTCCAGCCCCTGGGCGGCCGCTGCCCCCAGGCCGCCTGCCACGGCGCCCTCCGGCCCCAGGGCCAGTGCTGCGACCTCTGCGGTGAGCGTCCCGCCCGGGCCCTGCTTGCTGGGACCGCCTGGAGGACCAGGCTCGACCCCCGCCAGTTTCCTGCCGGGTCCGGATCCACGGCGCTGACTCCTGCCCTCCCGCCCCGCCGCAGGAGCCGTCGTGTTGCTGACCCACGGCCCCTCATTTGACCTGGAGCGGTACCGGGCACGGATACTCAGCACCTTCCTGGGCCTGGTAATGGGGCCGCACGGGCAGCTGAGGGGCGTCCCCAGCCGTACCGCTTCCGCCAGGACTCCCCTTCTGCAGGGGCCCCTGGGCCGCCCACCTGCCCGCCATCCGCCTCTGCCCTCAGCGTCCCCATAGGCTCGGGGGGCTGAGTCAAGCCAACCCCGTCCCCCTCCCCAGCCTCAGTACCAGGGGCTGCAGGTGGCCGTGTCCAAGGTGCCACGCTCGCCCCGGCTCCGCGAGGCCGACACGGAAATCCAAGTGGTGTTGGCAGAAATGGGGCCCGAGACGGGCGGCGCGGGGCGGCTGGCCCGGGCCCTCCTGGCGGACGTCGCCGAGCACGGTAACCGCGCCCGCCGCGTCCCGCAGCTCCCCGCCGCGCCTCGCCGCGGGGGAGACTGAGCCGGCCCCTCCGTCGTAGGCGAGGCCCTCGGCGTCCTGGCGGCGACCATGCGGGAGTCTGGCGCGCACGTCGGTGTCGGCTCCGCAGCTGGACTGGCGGGCGGCGTGGCGGCCTCGCTGCTGCTGGCGCTGCTGGTGCTGCTGGTGGCGCTGCCGCTGCTGCGCCGCGCGGGGAGGCTCAGGTGCGCGTGGCGGGACGGGGTCGAGGCGGGGCTGGGGGCTGCCCCGAGGGGCTCACGCAGCGTCCCCGCTACGCCCTCAGGTGGAGGAGGCGCGAGGAGGAGGTCCCGGCCGGGGCGCCCCTGGGCTTCCACAACCCAGTGTTCGACGTGGCGGCTTCCAAGGAGCCGGTGAGGGGGCGGGAAGGGGGACCGGGGCCTTCTCGGGCCGGGACTCGGCGCCCGACGCCTCTTGACCCTGTCACCCCGCAGCAGCCCCGGCCGCGGCTGCTCAGCGGGACTCCGAAGGCGGCCACAGGCAGCACCAGCCACAGTTACTTCGTCAACCCTCTGTTCGCCGGGGCTGAGGCTGAGGCCTGAGCGGCTGCGTGACCATCAACCTGGGGGCTCCCCACCCGCTTTGGCCCTAGAACCTCCCCCATCCCGGTCGACCTGGGGGCTACCCCTCGTCCAGCCCCCAGACCTCCCCTACCCCACCCCCCGCAGGGGCCAAGGACAGGGAGCCCTTGTACAATAAAGGTGTTTCCTGTACCATCTGGGGCGGCCAGAGGCTGGGGTCTGTGAAGTTGAACCCAGAACTAAGAAGGGAGCTTTCCCCCCTCTTCCGGTGTGGGTGGTGACAAGCCGGAGGGCAGAGGGTTGGGAGAGAGGCAAGGGGTCGGGGCGAGCCAAAGGCGGTGCCTGAAGGGGGCAGAAAAGGGGGCGGAAAAGCACCCCTCCTGGCACCAACCTGCTGGGACTGGGAGGGGCCTGGCCCCCAGGTGGACACAGATGGCCTTGGGGCCCTGCTGCATAGCTACCTCGCAGCCAGACTTTGGCAGTCCCTGCAAGGCAAGGCCATGCTCTCCCTTTCAGGGTGGCTCTGACCTGATGGGGTTGGTGCCAACACTGAGCAGCAGGGGTTAGGACCCAGCTGGCCCTTCCCTGCGTCACTGCGAAGGCAGATCACGGTATCACGTGTGTGCAAGTGTGCAGCCCTGCACTCACACAAACGTGCATCCCTGCACTCAGACAAGGGTGCACCCCTGCAATCACAGACAAGTGTGCACCCCTGCACTCAGACAAGCATGCACCCCTGCAATCACAAGCGTGCACCTCTCCACTCACACAAAGGTGCACCCCTGCACTCACAGACAAGCGTGCACCCCTGCAATCACACCAAGCGTGCACCACTGCACTCAGACAAGTGTGCACCCCTGCACTCACACAGACAAGCGTGCACCCCTGCAATCACAAGCGTGCACCTCTCCACTCAAACGTGCACCCCTGCACTCAGACAAGCGTGCACCCCTCCAATCACACCAAGCGTGCACCCCTGCAGTCACACTGACAAGCGTGCACCCCTGCACTCAGACAAGCGTGCACCCCTGCACTCACAGACAAGCGTGCACCCCTGCACTCAGACAAGCGTGCACCCCTGCACTCAGACAAGCAAGCGTGCACTCCTGCACTCACGCAGACAAGCATGCACCCCTGCACTCACAGACAAGTGTGCACCCCTGCACTCACAGACAAGCGTGCAACGCTGCACTCACAAGCGTGCACCCCTGCACTCAGACAAGCAAGTGTGCACCCCTGCACTCACACAAGCATGCACCCCTGCACTCAGACAAGCAAGCGTGCAGCCCTGCACTCACAAATGTGCACCCCTGCACTCAGACAAGCAAGTGTGCACCCCTGCACTCACAGACAAGCAAGCATGCACCCCTGCACTCAGAAAAGGGCCCGATCCCGTGTGTGCAACCTAAACTGTGGCACGGCGACCACTTCTGTGAAACCAGCATCTAGGCTGAAGATGTCACCAGCACCCGCAGTCATGGCCCAGTCCCCACTTGGAATCTTCTGCCCAGGGGCCCAGCTCAGTCACCACACCAGGACATGTCCTGTAACCCAGATCAGGATGCTGTGCTTCAGGGTGTGTCTGTGTTGTGGTTCAAATGTGTCACTCTTGGTGCTGTGCACTGTCCTGTCGAGTGACCGCCACAGTTGACGCCTGTGCTCGAACGGCTACGATTTGAGTTTAAAAAGTGGCTGATACCCCCACAAGCACGTTACAGGAACATTTTGAGTGGCAAGTGCAAATTGGGGAGCAAACCTGAGCTGACCTGGCAAAACCTGCTGCCCGCTGCTCAGCTCACTCATAGACGAGACTGTGCCACCAGAGACCCGCCCCTGGTGTGGGGTGTGGGAGGAGATGCTCTGGGGGACCCCCCTGTGGTGTGAGCTGTGGGAGGAGATGCTCTGGGGGACCCCCCTGTGGTGTGAGCTGTGGGAGAAGATGCTCTGTGGGACCCGCCCCTGGTGTGGGCTGTGAGGAGATGCTCTGGGGGACCCGCCCCTGGTGTGGGCTGTG